TATAGACCTATCCAAAAGAACATTTTTGAGTGTCGCCCTCTATTGTCGGCGCCATTACTGGGGTGGCATTTGCGAAGTTGGGGATCTGTCTCTTATACACATCTAGATGTGTATAAGAGACAGCTCTCACTCCCAGTCACCCTCCCAAAAATCACGGTCAAGTAGTTAAAAATCACCTAAAATCACCTTATTTTGCGAATTTGCGCCTCTCAACTGATCATCGAGGCCCCCACCCCACTCCACTTTAACTTTGAGCCTTAAGACTTCTAGATATACGCCACTGGATCTCTCTGATGTAGCATTAACAATACTTGAATGAATTGCCTTCCAACTTACTTGAAACTGTAAATGATAACGAGAGTAACGGCGAGAAAAAAAATCGAAATTGCAACGCCAACGTTTGTAAGCTGTGACACATTCTTGTTCTCATTTATCTGAAAGGTAATAAAGTTATACCTCATGTTACAGTAATCGAAATAAACACCAGCAACACGAGTTTCTGAACAGGTCTGTCAGGGAAAATTTGGTCCGGGGGGCAAAATCGGTCCGCCGGACCGATTTTGGCTTTAAAAGTACCTTTCAAATGTAGTCCACCTACGCCAAAATCGATCCGGCAACTGTTTAGTAGTTATAACCTGTATTTTTTTTAAGCGCTGTTCATATTTGTTTTTAATCAAATAATACGTATGTCCTATTATATAATATTTTTTCATTTCATTATGTGTGCAATTAAGTATCTATAAACCTGCCAACATTTCAAAGAGGAAAAGATGTAGGATATTTTGGTGATGACGCGTAGCGTCATCCGAAGGTGAAGCCCGAACGGGGCGTGGAAGCTATACGGTAACATATCAATAAAGTTAAGGGCATAACTTTATTTTAGAGTTACAAAAAATACTGCAGGCATAGGCCTACACACAGAGCCAGTAGAGTTACTAATAAATACACATTACTATTAATAATTAATTATTATATTAATATAGCCTAGGCCTATTTACATGCTTCAATTTATATAGTCTGTACCACCTGTAGTTTTGTCCTCATGGGAAATAAGACCAGGAAAAAAATTATCTTCCTCGTCACTACTGCCATCCGTCGCTAAGGAAAACACAATATTATTATGTGGTTCAGCAATATCACGTTTGATCTACGTCAATCAAACAGTTCAAATCTTCCCTGAAGAGTCATTTTCAGTTCTGAAATGTATCAAACTTTTACGTTTGTTTTGTAAGGCGCTGTGATACAGTATCCTTGATGAGTAAGAGCGCTTTATAAATGACTGCATTATTATTATTATTATTATTATTATTATTATTATTATTATTATTAGTAGTAGTAGTAGTAGTAGTAGTAGTAGTAGTAGTAGTAGTAGTAGTAGTATTATAATCATCATTATCTGAACAATCGAATCAGATGCCATGTGCAGACTAGATTATTATTATTATTATTATTATTATTATTATTATTATTATTATTATTATTATTATTATTACTGTTATTATGATTATTATTATTATTACACGCGATAAGACGCCGGGGCCGCGAAGGGCTAAACTCAATGTGGTAAGACATTTATGAATGGTGCCACGATATATTTCTTCCAGAGCTGTGCACGCGTCTGGACGGTCTTAATTATTATTATGACCATTACCATCATCAATAATTTTATGTTGTTAAATGTTATTTTCATGTGAATGACGATAGATTTATTTACACCATGTTAAGTTTTGGTTAGGGTCCTTTTCCCAAGAGGCCATTGTCAAGGTATACCTTTTTAGGCAATGTCACTTTTCTGTACCCTTCATTAGTTACGTTCAATATTTAAGTTACAATGAGTAATTAAATTAAACCTGAACATGAAAAACAAAATAAATAAATAAAAAGGTTAAACATTTCCCACACGAATGAAATATACGGGATAAAGACAATTATATTTTGATTTCTAGCTGCAAACACGTTAACCATTCGTAAAAATCTTATGAATATGTATGTATATATATATATATATATATATATATATATATATATATCCTAAGTATAAGTAATATAAAAGTTTGTAACCTAGTGTCTTTGATTACCCATATATATTGCTCACGTGTGTATTTCGTCTTCATGATCTGGTTCAAACTAACGACGGAGATTATATATACAATCTGTTGTAATCTGCCTCAGTAAGATTTATTTATACGACATGTTTCGGGCATACCGCATAGCCCATCACCAATATGTATTGTTGTATTATTATAATATTAGTACAATATTGGTTATACTTATTACCGGTACTGTTATTTCTTGAATTCGCCTGCCATTGCCTTAGGTTTTATTTATGAGCACAGTATTGCCTTTATTTTGGTTAAAAAGTACTACAGTATAGTTGAGGAATTGAATACTAATTTAATTGCATGTTCAAATGGTGATTTAAAAAGGAGGTAGAACATACGAATAAAGTTTGATTTCCAGAAGAACATTCAATAAAAGAAAGAAAATGTCATGCTCTGATGCGACACTATAGTGTTGAGAATGTGTATGGAATTATCTTTGTCTAAAATTTAGACAAAGATAATACAGTTTGATTCAGGGGTAGCACCAGGATTTTCCCGACTGGGGCTGAGGTCCCCGATAGGGGGATGTTCCCGACGAGAACGAAGTACTGTAATAATAATAATGATGCTGGCCTAGTAAAAATGAGTTTATTTACATTTTGATGGCAAATTGGCGCTCCATACAATATCGCCAAAAGTCAAGTGCAGAAGTGGCCACTTTAGTTTTGCACTGTGCCACTTGAATTTTGCACTGCACCACTTTAGTTTTGCACTGTGCCACTTGAATTTTGCACTGCACCACTTTAGTTTTGCACTGCGCCACTTGACTTTTCCACTGCACTTGACTTTTCCACTGTGCCACTTTTGGCGTTTCATAGGATTTAGGATTTTGGCAAAAATCAGTCTTGCGTCTTTTTAACCAATCAAAAGATTGTATTAGGTTGAAGTCATTTCGTATCTATAGGCAACGTGCAGTGGACGGGTGGATATAGTGCACGGTGAAACAAAATTTCGATTAAAAGGGGAAAAACGATTAAATGGGGAAAATAACTAGTGTCAGGTGGTACGAAATCAACTAATCAAATGACTGGGATCTATTTAGGTGTGTTATAACATAAAATATATATACTCATAGGTCTAATTTTTTATAAGAACCAGAACAATTTTGCCGAGGCAGTGTTCTTTATTTTTATTTTTAATGTTCTGACACCTTTGTTCATATTTCTTTTTAATGATAACAAAATATTAATATACAGACATTTTTTTCAAGAATTAAATCTAACCTTCATATAATAATTTTCCTATAGTGTACTATGCGGAGCTTTACAAATTGCTTATTATAAGTCAATCGTGACGTCATCACTGCAACTCCCAACGTTATTTGCCTATCCCCCACAGTCCACTAATTTTTCAATTAGTGGACGTTTGGCTTGAATTTTTGTTTAGGTTCATGTGCAAAAAAAAAAAAATCCTCATTTTTTCGTCACCGCGAAGATACCGCGCACCGCGATGAAAATTGAATTGTAATTGAAGATTACTTTTGTAAAACAAGGTTAATTAGAACCCGAAGAAAGCAAATTCAATATTAAGTATGAAAAATTAATTTCATTCATTGATTTCATTCATTAAATCAATGGACAAACTACTAGACAAACTGAATGTTTAATAGAAATAACTACTAGGCCTACTATGCCTACTAGGCCGTAGCACATTTTACCTGTCTGCACCGACCGAAATGCGATTTCTGTATTCTCTCTCAAATGCTTTAAGAAAAGATTACTTCTTTGACGAATGTCTATCCAAATAGCATTACAAACAAAATTCTTCTATTATAAATAGTTATTAATTGTGTTTTTTATAACAAAAATTTGTCAAGCATTAAATCTAATCTTCGTAAAATAATTTTCCTATAGTGTATTATGCACAGCTCTACTAGTTGCCTATATGCACAGCTCTACTAATTGCTTAATAGAGGGTATTATAGTCACACCTACTGCACATAAGTAAAAATAAATGTCTAATGAATTTCCAAGATTTAAAATTTGATGGTGAAACACGAATGTTCAGGGAATCTTCGAAGCATCAAATTCATCGATAGGTCTATTTGTATTTTAATAAAGTAACCTCTTTGCAATGATCCATGTGATTGCTAGATGTTTGGTAACATTTCCGGTATCAGCTCAGAAATAAAGGTAGAGATCTAATATTCGCGCCAAAATCCTGGGCCGGCACCAAGGATGCAATTAGTGGGAAAGAAGGCAGCCAATCGTAAGAACTACAAATTACGCCATTTACTATGTCGTCGTATCGCAAGAAAAATTAAAGCTTGATTCCCATTTGCAAAAAAAAAAATGCCACAACGCAACGTACGCAACGCAACTTAAAGAAATACTCTTTCGGAAATTTCGTATCCCAACTCCTTACGTAAATTTAAATTTACACTTCTTACGTGACGCAACGTAACCAAATGCATACGGTTCCCACTTGCCGCTGCGTAAACGCAATGATTTTCACGGGAAGCCTTCAAAATCCCTTATGAAATTATCATTGATTGCAGGGCTACCAATGTATTGTAGGGTGGCACTGGGCTGTGTTCTGAATACTATCTTATCACAGGCATGGCTGGGTTAGCCTCCTGTACAGTTAATGCTTTCAATTTAATTGACTGCAGAAAAAAAAAATTATAATGAATCAACAATTATACGTTTTTCACAGATATAAGCCTCTAGATTAGACCTGGGTAAATATACAATTTACACTTATTTACTGTAATTATTAATGTAAATATTATCTAATAGGTCTAATACTGCGCCTATGCCTTATTTTAAAAGGTAATGTTTAATTGTATTAATTTGGCATATTAAATTAAATATACAGTACATAAATGTTTAATTACAAATTGTATGACATTTTCATATTTTCGTAAATCTGGGATTTATATTTTGTTTATGCAGATCTGATAAATATATTTCCATAACATAAATATGAATAATCTGTACATTAAGACCAAAACAAAAAGCTAAAATGAAAGTCAAATGTTAAACTCAGATAAATATTTAAATCAATGTAGGCCTAATATCAGGAGTGGCGCCAGGAATTTCCCGATGTCCGATGTCCCCGACAAAAAAAAAGTGGGAGTGGTCGGACGTCGCTCAAAATATTTCGAAAATGTTCTAGGGGGCGAAGCTCCCAAAAAATATGACAATTTATGGGTTTAAAATGCATATTTAATCAACTTTAGAGTCTACTAGTAGGGACCCATGTTTAAATATATTTAAACATATGTTTACATATATACATAAAACTTCGTGTTGTGTCACTTTGCGTCAATACGTTGCTTTTGCGTCGTTGTGTTGCGTCCTAGTAGGAACACCAAGCTTTAACTTAAAGTAACATTCAGGCGCTCGTAGGACTCTGTGGATTGAGTTCACTCGTATTTCCAACTTTCGTAAGGGACTGAAAAACGCTCTTTTATCTGCGGCCCGACACGATCAAGGCAAACGTCATTGACGTCGGGATTTTATGTCTTAAGAATCTTAAGAAATTCTGACTTTTACGTAAACAAGAAACCAAGCTTTAGTCTATGGTTGTAAGTATATTCAAATATTACCTGTTTGGGTTTCATCAGCAAGATAAATGATGTCAGGTGATTGCAATTGCATGTCACGTTGCTCTTGAAGTTGTTGTTATATATTGTTTCACAACCCTCTGTTGACCACTCACTTGTGAAATGTGAATGATCGGACATAAAAGTGTAAATAAACAATACAGCATTATATTAATAGTGTATAATTTGGTATAGCCTATATATATATATATATATATTATATATATAATTATGTATATATATATAATACCTATATATATTATATTCATATTATACTTGTATATATTTATATATAATAATTATAAGGAGGCCTATATATATACAAATATATATATATATATATATATATATATATAAATATATACAGTATATATACATATATTTTAATTATAGATTTCAACGTATGTTCAACGTATGCTTCACAACACAAGACAAACACTTACACAATCTAAGTCTCTTTATAAGGTATAGGGAGTGAAAATGTTTTGGACGTGATAAAAAAAATATCCTGCAACTGATAAGAATTGTATCCAAGTACCATGGGACTGGAAGACAAGCATCTTAACCACCAAGCTATACAAGTCTACTCCTATATCTTTTTATAGAATATTATCGAAATATTTACTTACGTTGATGTGAAACTTTCATGTCTCTGTGTATAGTAACACAACGGTACTATAGTTTGAATCACATCCGTACTATTTTCTAATTTTGAGTGCTTAGGGGAAAAATGTTATTACTTTAGTTTACTAGAAAAATTCCATTCCACGATGATCAATATGCAAATAAGCTGGACAAATACCCCGAAGGCGATAATAGTGCTTATTTATCCATCCGTCTGTCCGTCCATCCATCCATCTATGTGTCACGTCATCGTTATCCGTAAATACTGTATAGAAAATAGTCTGTCATGTGGTACATGTTACCTTCGCCAAGGAAGTTATGTATTCGCCCCTGTTGTCGTAAAAGTGGTCTTTAATTTACAGAGTGCCTCATTGTTCGCTTCACTCGCAACCTGGCTACTTCAATTCTCGTGGCTACAGCCCTGCGTCCCAGTTATAAATGGATCAACTGAAACTTTCCAGAATGGTTTTCCATAGTGCAATGAAGAAATGATCCAATTCTGGTGACGATCCAGAGTAGGGTCTGTCTCTTATACACATCTATCTGGATATTATCGATATTTACTTTCTTGCCGTCCCTGTAAATATCGATACTCACGATATCAGATGTGATTTTTAATTCTCCAGTACTGTGTAAAAAAAAAACAAAAAACAAAAAAAAAACGTAATGTTAAAACTCTAACGTGAGAATGTACTATTAATACCATTATACCGTGAATTTCTTCGTAAACGGTTTATAATTTATTGCCAATTTACAATTGTCGCACTACTTACGATATCTTAAAAAGAGTGGATTCCTCAACTACAGTTAGATTTACGTAGACTATGATTGGTCCGTCTAAATAATAATTAGAAAAAGTCATAAAGGGATAAACAATTCTATATACTGTACAGCAGTATCAATAAATTCATAAATTCAGTAGTATAGGCCCAGGCATATTTTTTAAATTACAATGATTTAAACTAAAAGGGGTTATGTTTCATGGCTTTTTCAATTTATGATAGCATTGAAGTGTGCAATGCAATACTGAGTATTTGCCGTTCAATAGAATTTTCGAAGAATTATTCACTTTTTCTTTAAATAATACATAGACCTACCTGTTGTTATTATTTCAAAAATTCTGGCAGAGATTGTGATACTGTTTGGTTCATCTATTAGAGCCAACTTAGTAGTATCTTCCGTCAAGTTAAAAGTTAACTGAACTGCAATGCAATGTTGAACTGGTGTATTTTAATACTTTAAAACAATCTAAATGTCAAAATGTTTTCTAATATATTCTTTTATTTTCTCAAGTCAGAATTAATTGAGGAAGGAACATTTTATCACTAAAATTGAATAATTTCTTCATTGTAACGTGGATACATTTTCGAAGAAGTTTTTCTGACCGGCACTTTGGTCACTTTTAGTACGTTAAACGCCTTGAAACATTGCCCAAATAAACTATGTGCATATATAAGAAATGGGTGTGTGTTGGGGACGATCCAACATTTTATTGTGTGATTTTGAGGGTCATTTAAATTGCTAACGTCCCAGGGCCGTAGCCACCGGTAAGATTGGTCAAGTTCCAACCTGACCACTTTTTAGCAGACCACAAGTTAATTGATTAGGTTTCGAATCTGAAATAAAGGGCTAAACTCCACCTGTATGCTTAGACTCAACATACTTCCTCTTGACAAACTCAGGAACCACACGTCTCTGAACTCTGGAGTGAATGGTTAATGATAATTTACATTATTTTCTTCTTTTGATTTATCATTGATTGATTAAGAAACTAGGATGCACGTTTTCACCAAGCCGCGGCCTATGCGTACCAGGGACCAACATACCAAAACCTGGCAAGAGGTGTCGATTATACCTCCATGATTTGATCATCATCAATGTTCTGATGCTATAGGCCTACAATAATTTGACATCATTACCTGTTCTGTCAGTGACAACATTTCATTGTACATTTTATTTAAAAAATACTATTTTATTAAAGAAATAATATCGTACAATTGTATTTTTCCCCGAAAATTTTTGATTGTTTTCTTATCCTACCATAATTCAACGAACACAGTTCAGCCACACATGTAATAGCTTTCTCCTTCTTCCAAAAACATTCACGCACACTCATTCATTCCGCAACCTTAAAACACGATCTGGTGGTTCATTTACTACCGTCGCTTCTTTCGTCATACCTATCATACGTTGCATTTCTTCTCCACCTCCACAAATAATAATTTGTGTAAAGCCATAATCCGAAATTTGTTAATGTCAAAAGACAAAATACTAAAATAATAACAATGCTGTAACAATCTTTCTCTCGAATACAGTAAACCTCCTTGCTTTGAATTTAAAGTGTTTGTAGCCAATTGCTTTGCTCCACTATAGCCCTGATGGTAGTTCAAAACATACTTTTATATTAGATTGCTACTACAGAACATCAATAAGTTTGGTCTATACAATGTAAACATAACCTCGACCAGGGGCCCATAACGGCCATCTGGATCCAGCCTCATTGTTCGCTTTACTCGCAACCTGGCTACTTCAATTCTCGTGGCTACAGCCCTGCGTCCCAGTTATAAATGGATCAACTGAAACTTTCCAGAATGGTTTTCCATAGTGCAATGAAGAAATGATCCAATTCTGGTGACGATCCAGAGTAGGGTTTGAATAATTATGAGGACAATTATTTGGACAATTGATTAAATTATATAAACGCAATTCGCGTTTTCTAAATCGTTTAAACCAACTGCTGCTAGGTTAAACGCAAACTTACAGTGATATGCATGAATAATTTTGGCTTTCAATCACTGAATTACTGTAACACCTAAAGTAGATGAACTAAATATGCACTGACCTAAACAGGATCGACTCATATACCGCGTAATGTGAGTCTCGGTGTGCCTCGCTATTAGATTACTATACCATTGCAGCAATTCGAGTTTCTCTAACGTCGCGTTACTTGTGAACTTAATTTTCATTTTTTTTTACTTCCTAATTTATCTTAGTATTATTAAGTATAGTATTTTTGATTTTTACTTTTATACCTTTTAATGATTTTTTTTGGTTGCAATTTCCACTTTACTTCTACTTTACTAATTTTTTTCTTGTACCTTTCAGACTAGTTGATCCGTCTTTTCAATATCTGGTGAGGGGTGTTTCCCCTTAAATCCATTGCATTAAAACAATTGCTTTTCCTGCTTGGAAAAGACAATAATAATATAAATGATAATGATAATTACTGTACTAACCTTGCCTCGAACTTGTAGTACTAGTAATCTCAGAAGAATCCACAGTCGTATCGTCTGGCGATGTTAAAGTGAGATTAAGGGTGGTTATAGACAAATCCCCGTCAGATTCCACAGTCGTGTCAGGTATATATAAAGTAGGTGTTTTGGTATCTATAATGG